AATCCCTTAGAATGAGTTACCCTGTTAGTAATACCGTATCTCCCTGGACAACAGATGCCTTGTCATTAGAGTGATGCTAATGTGAAACATGGAAAACAAGATCAGAGAAAATTTTCTTCTTTGGAATGCCTTCTCTCCCTTTCCCATGACCCCTTTGGTCTGTTACATCAATGAAGATGGAAAAAGAGAGACAAAGTCTCTGCCTAGCTTTTTAATTGTTATTTCTCATGGTTTCGCTTGTTTTTTTGGCCAACACTAACTCTCCTTCAGGGTCATCTGTGTGACATACATCCCAGTGGTTGGGCTCTTTCCATGGGGCACCAATGTGTTCTTTATGTGCACCACTGAGGGCCACTTTACTGCACAGCTCCCTGATGTGGTAACATGAGCCCAGCACATTCTCTTCCATTTTTCCTTTGGCTCCAGCCACTTGCTACTGGCTCCCCTCTTGCAGAAGGCAGCCTTCTGGGGTTGGCCATATTCCCTTGACCACCAAAATGGAGGACAGCAAGGGGGCTAGCCAGCCCCTTTCCTCCTTCCTGGCATCTCCCTCCTGTTTTCTCTCCTTTGCTTGGGTAAAGCAAAGCCAGAAAAGCACATCTGCCTGAGCACATGTCCAACTAGTATTCAGATTCCAGTCTCTTCCCCTTGCATTCTTCTTGTAGGCACATGCAACCAGTGGTCCTCTTTGTGCCTGTCCCTCATTTAGATTCAGAATTGGTGAGGATCTCCATGGAGGAAGTGAGGAAAAAGCTGTTGTGTGCTCTGACCCAGTTATCACCTTCACCCTTCCCCCAACTCCTACCCTTCTGCAATCTTCTCTCATTGTCAGGGACAGTGGGAGAGAAACTGAAGAGAGAGGGCAGCAAAAGCAGTTCAGCTCCCTTTTAGGAAGCTCTGTGGGGAGGCGTCTGGTTCCAAGTATTTGTGGCTTTCTTTAGAATACAGAGTAGTTAGCATTTTGGCCCTAGTGCAATTTCTGGCCACAGAAAAACTCTTACTCAAGTTCCAAGTATGTAAGCATCACACAAAAGCTAGAAATAGTAAAATAAACAATTGATGATTTGCGTAAAAAAACCCTTAAAGTTCTTTATGTCAAAGTCTGACTTTAACAATGATAAACTGGAAAAATGTTTGTAATATGTATGCCAAAGATTGTGATTCTTAGCATATAAAAACTGTTGTAAATCAATAAGAAAAAGGGGATCATTTCAATGGAAAAATATGAACAAACGACATTAACAGCAGGTAAGAGGAAAAAATCATAAAATTGAAAATAAAAAAAATAATTCCTACCAATTGCCAAAGAGATGAAAAATCCAATAACTTTGAAATGCATTCTTGCTTAACAAACAACAAAGTATGTAGTATGGCCAAAGGTTAAGAAACAGATACTTTCATATACTGTCAATTGATGCATAAATTGACGTAACCCTTTCAGAGAATAATTTGGCAATAAATATCAAAACTTTAAAAGTTTGCATCCTTTTGGGGTCTGCAATTCTATTTTTATGATAAAAGAGGAAGCAAATGAATTTGAATCTATATGAAGAAATGGCTACAAGGGTGTTCACTGTAATACCTTTTTTTGTAAAAACTTGGAAACCACTGAAATATCCAGCAAAAGGTGATTGATTAAATAAATAATAAAATACTAGGCAACTACTAAATATAATGGTGTATGAAAATACATAGTGACATGGGGAGGTATTCAAAAGTTGCTTATAAACCAGTATTATAACAATATTACATTTTATAAAACAACTTTATATATGCATATGCATTGAAGAAAGAAGGAAACGATTTACTTCAAAATGTTAACTGAGGTATTGAGGGGTGCAGAGTGAAGGGAGAGAGGAGGGAGGCAATTTTTCTTCTTTCTCTTTTGTATTCTCTATACTTTCTACCATGCATATGTACTTCATTTGTGTCAAGAAAATAAGCACTACGAATTATAGAAATATTATGTTAAAAGGAATTATTGGTAGAAAAAATGATGTGAAACTATGGATGAGTTCAGTACACAAATGCATGCTACAGCATCCAGCACACTAAGAGACAGGTTCATATCGCAACTTGAGCCATCACAAAAACAATTTGGGCCACTTTTTATCAACTCCCTTGACATCGCTTAATTTCTTATACCAAAACTCTGTTCGGTAAATCTAAGACTAGGAAGAGCCAAAATAAAATGGATGAAGAGCACAACTCTGATGACGTGGTTTCTCCAAGAACAAAATTTAGGGTACATGCAGTAAAATAAACAGCAGAGCATGCTGGCAATTATCTATAAATAATATTTCTTAAAATTTCACTTTTGCTGAGTGGTTTTGTTAGTCCATTTGTACTGCTATAACAAAATATCTGAGACTGGGTAATTTATAAAGAACTGAGGTTTATTTCCTCACAGTTCTGGAGGCTGGGAAGTCCAAGATCAACACACTGACAGGTTCACTTGTCTGGTAAGGGCTGCTCTCTGCTTCCAAAATGGCACCTTGTTGCTGCATCCTCTGGAGGGGAGAAATGCTGAATCCTCCCATGACCCTCACACAGAAGGGCAAGCCAACCAAATACTGCCTCTTTTATAAGGGCTTTAATTCCATTCATGAGGAAGGAGCCCTCACTGCATAATCATCTCTTACAGACCCCACCTCTTAATACCATCACATTGGCAACAACTGAATTTTGGAGGGAACACATTCAAACCATAGAAGTGTAGCTATCCTCTTTGGCAAGTAGTCAGCATGCAGAGATTCCATGTTATCAATATAGTTGCATTCAGATGCTTTCAAATAAGCAGAGAGAGGGGTGATGTTGACTTCCTGTTGTGAAACTTGAATATTTGCTTCAAAGAAATCGATTTGGATTCGACATGGCAGTAGGCACACCCACCCAGTGGTCACCTATAGGCTAGGGTAATGCTTCCCTTAAAAAGTGCTTCTGGGTTGGCTTCCAACACATCGTTGATCTGGGAGATTATTGATTTTGCATCTTTTCTCAAAGTCCAACTTTTCTCCTTTCCCTCCCTTGTCACCTCCTCGGCCTTATCATCCCTTCCTTTTCTTTTTTCCCTTCCCATTCCTTTTCTGCTCTCTATCATTTTTCATCTTCCACAAGCTTTCAGGCTTGTTCTCCACAAGCCTGTATGTGGCACCCTGTGCCTTTACACTCAGAAGGTAGGTTTTAGTTACATGAGAAGACAAAAGGATATTGAGCAAAGATTAGCTGCCTGGGCAGTGCATATTAAGTAAGGAAACAAGCACATTAATTACAAAGATGAGACTGTTTTCTTTCATTTTGTTTTAACAGCCTGATAAGGGCTCGCTGGGAAGTGACCAGCATCTGATGCGACAGAAAACCACTGTTTCCACCCAAGGGAAATGATTTCTGATGCTCTCTGTTCCTTTTCTTTTGCAGCCTTACTCTGGTAAGTTTGTAGGACAGGCCTGAGACTGACAATAATTTTCTTGGGGTTACCTGATGCTTTTTTTCTGGCATTTTCCCCTGATGAGCCACACTCATTCTTCGAGGAGCATTTACACAACATTAACTTGGAAAAGTCAGAAAAAGCTATCCTTTTCCTTGATCCAGCTTGTAATACCCTTGAAGGAAGCAGCTGAATGTTCTATGCTCATTAATTGCCACCAATTGAGCTACCCCCCAGGAGACTAAAACCTTTCTATGTATCTTTTTGAGTTCTCTAAGGATGAAAGGAATACTGCCTATGCTAAAAAATATATGTCTTTAAATCTGTTACAGTCAAGCAGATGTCAAAGTGAGAGCAGCTCCACGCTGTGACTCTTAGTTATCATGCATTGGGATTTATAAATGAAAACACACAAGGATTCATATTCAATTGCTTCAAAAAGATCAAATATGCTCAGGTGGTTTGGTGACAGATCTTTACAGCTGAGGTCACAGATAACAAGTCAAGCATGAATTTTCTTTTTTGTAAGTAAACTGAAAAAGAATCCTTCAGAACTGTTTGTATCTCACCATACAGCTTTGGCTGTCTCTGTTAAGCAAAGGAGTCCATTTGAGAAAAAGTATCAGCAAGGAACTATGGGGCTATATCTTTTGCATGCAGAGTTGTCCAGTTCATCAGTAGGTTATCTGTTGCTTTTTCTGATGATCCTGAGAGGGATGGATCATAAATAATATCTGAAGAGGAGTTTTATAAAAAGACATGAGGTTGTTTGTTCTAGGTGAGAACTATTATTTGTGGCCAGTGCCCATGCTTATGCATCTAAAAAGCAGAAGTTAACCAGTTTAAAGAAAAAAACAGTTTCATTGGAGTATAATTTGCATACAATAAAATTCATCTATCTGAATGGGCGAATCCTGCTTTAAAGGGTAACATGAAACACTGAAAACCTTAAAGATTGTTCAGTTTGATGAAATGTGCCTTACCTAGATAAAATTTGTTTTATTTTAGTCATCAGCTATAAGACTTGTTGGACCTATTTTCACATGATATACCTCTCCAGGCCTGAGTTTTCTTCTTCTGTAAAAGTGGGAGAGTATCTACCTAATAGGGTTATTGTAAATGTAAAGTTGAGAGGGTGCATCTAAAGTACATTTAGTACAGAGCTGGGTACATGATACAAATTCAGTAAATTACTCCCCCCATGCCCTAGATGTCAGTGTTCTGTTTGTGGCTTAGCCAGAAAAAGTTAACTCATTTTGTAAAACTGATTTTCAAAGAAAGTGGCTGTGGAAATTGCAGGGAAAACCATACACTTTTGAAATACTTCGGACAATTAGTATAGTCTTTTCTGTGTACTTTTGTTGAGGAAGGAAGAGTGTGGGCAGTGAGCTGCAGTGCGTGCCTAGAAACCAACACCAACGCATAAGGACTGGGGTCATTCTTCTATCCCATCTGGGAGGCCCCATACGTGGGCCCAGAGGAGCTGGCTCTGTCTCTGTCAGGTGACCTTGGGGCCTGTGACCAAATGGCCAGATAACCTCATAAGAGATCTAGAGTTCATCTAGCTGAGTTTTCAATTTCTGCAAAGGAGTGTGGTCCTAGGAGATAAGAATTCCATGAAAAGAATCAAGTTTGAACGTTTTCTGAGTTAGAGGGAAAGTGTATGCATGTATCTGATGAGCCAAAAACATGCAAAATTAAATGAGGTAAATTACCTCAGTGGCGGTGACAAAATCTAATCTGGCTTGAAAATGTGACTTACATCAGAAGAATAGGATGTGCCCATCCATCTGAAAGTTTTGAAGTTGCTGTTAGAAAGAATAAATATAGCCTGACTTGTTCCATCAGCATCATAGTAAAACATTCAGTCATGTCCTGGCCAATCCCAAAAATTACATGGGAAGCAAATCTCCAAATTGTATGGCATAACATAAACTTATTTAGTGAATTAGTAGCCTCTAACTCCAGGAAAATTTAGGATTAAGGGTAGAAGTGTTTCAGATAGTCAGAACAGTAATATTACCATATTTTTGTCTGAAAACGTTAGTACATACTTAGAATTTAAAGTATTTGTAATGTTTAAAAAATGTAATCTCTTTAGAGTGTTGGGACAGACTTTTAATTCAAATTTTAAACTATGTCATTGAGTAATTAATTTAGATTTATGATATTAAATTGAAATCTTCCTAAGTTTATAAGCTGACTTAGAATATTTAATATGCTTAAGTATTGCTCTGTTTATAAGCTTAATTTATTAGATTTGTAAGCATGACTTAAGTACTTGAAAGGTTTGTTTGATAATTGTAGTTTTCAAAAAGGAGAAGAAATTGAATTTATAAATTTATACATTTAGTTAAAAATGCTTAAAGGCATTCATTTAAGTTTTACATGGAACCAACGTTATTTAAGGGCTTTTTAAAAGGGTTTTAAAAGCTTTACTAGTTTTTACTAAGTTTTACTAGCTTTATACATTGGACAAAATTTTAAACCTTTAAAAGCTTAAATAATTAGATATTTGAATTTCTAACTTTAATAAATTGAATGTTGAGATTCAAAACACACATAGAATATTCTTCTCTAGACACAGAAACCACTCTTAAGGGTATGCATGCAAACATACACATACAATGTCTACAAAAACAGGTGACTAGATGAAGATAAGAGTGTTGACAGAAGGAGTAATTATTCTTTTATTCCATGCTGTGCGGCAGTGAGGGAGTAGGGAAAAAATCTTCCCCATGCCCCACCCCACCCCAGGAATAAATTAAAGATATCTGCAAATTCTTTGAAACTAGATTCGGGAGGTGGGGTTTCTGTCTCTTCCCTTGGGTCTAGGCAGGTTCTGTGACTGCCTAAACAACATTTAGTAAGGCTGATCTGCAGCTACTCAGGAACCAGCAATGCCACTGCTGGGTGTACATCCCAGGAGAGCTCACTTATGTGTATACAAGGAGACATGCTGGAGAGTGCTCATAGTTACAGAACCAACCGACAGTGGCATCCACAGCAGAATGGAGATGTAACTCATGGTACATTCATGCATCGGAGTGCTCTGCAGAGTGCAAAAGAAATGAACTGGAGGTACGTATATCAACATGGACACCTCTCACAGACATAAAACTAAGAGAAAATAGCAAAATGTACAATAGCGTTTCTCAACCTTTTTTTCATTATCACCCCCCAAAGAGCCTTTTTTAGACTTTTTTCTAATCCTTCCCATGAAATTTTAATAGCTAAGATATATTGTATATTTCTTCATGTACTCTATGTATATCTGTCCTTTATATCTCAGAAGAGTAAGATCCACTCAACAAGAACCAATTTTCACTCCCATGGGGACAATATTGTCCTGAGTTTGCATGACATAGAAAATTACACAAACTATGATACTATTTATGTAGCATTTAGAAGCATGCAAAGCGTAACACTGTGCTTTGGATCCATACATATACGGTAAAGACATAAAGGAGTGCATGGGAATGCTGAATACCAGTTTCAGTAAAGTGCTGACTTTACTGGGGCAGAGGAGAGAGGAAAATGAATTGTAGAAGGGTGTATCGGGGACTTCAGGTATGCTGATGGGTACATGGGTATTGCTGATACTTCAGGCAGAGATTCCAGAGGCTGGGGCTGCAGACCCCCCGTTTCATACATACTGGTTTTTAACTAGCTTTCCTCTATCTGAAAATTTCCTCTGACCTTACAAGAAAGAAAGCGCCCATGGGGCCCCATGTCAGTGCTGGCCACGAGGCCCTGTGTGTAAATTCAGGTGCCCTATTTCCTGGTGGGACAGTCACAGCCAGGCCTCACATCTGGCAAGCCAGGCAGGGGCTGGGATTTTGGAGACACAGGCCAGTGGCCACGGAGCCAGGCAGGGCGTGGAGCGGAGGGGGTCAGTTGTGGCCTGTGGCCCACAAGAGCCAGGGCCACACCTGCGGAGGCAGCTGCCACTCAGCTCCAGCTGGTCTGTCACCAGAAGCCAACAGCTTTGAAAGTGAAGTCTGTCACTTTTTAAGTGGTGGCAAAGAAGTCAAGGCATTCAAAAGTGCCCTGCATGGGCCACACGGACCCTTCCATGGGCCGCCACATTGAGGCTGCACTTGTGTCTGTGGCCAACTTGTGGGTCTTGGCCCTCCTCCCTGCCAGGCTGGGCTGGGCACCAGGAGAGGTGAGTCCAGGAACACCCATCTCTACCCACTGGAAACAAACCTGGTGAGCTCCCCCTGGCCTGTGACCCTTCCCAGTCCCCACTGACCATGGGAGAGAGTCCAGCCTCCGAGGCTGGCTTCCCAAGGTCCAGCACAGGCTCCCGCCAGGCCAGCCTCATGCCAGGCCACACCCAGACACCGGCTCTGCAACTCTTATAATTTCACATGCAGGCAGGAGAGGGGTTAAGAGCATGGGGCTTGAAAACAGATGTTGGTTCAAATCCTAACCTTGCCATTTTGCTCTAGATGGCAGGAAAAAAAACCCCCAAAACCAAAAAGTCCGCAGTGTTCCACAGAGGTGATTTCCTCCACGAAAGCCTGGCTTCCCCCGAATCTGCTGCTGTCTCTCCTCCTCCTCTTCAGCCACGGTGTCCCCTCCTCCCAGAAGCTTGCCTGGACCCCTGGTCTGGGTCAGGTGTCTCCTCCGGGCTCCCCCATCCAAGCCCTGACCACTGGGGACTGTCACCCTATGGGAATGGGTCTGTCCCCCACTTCCAGGAGCTCTGGAAAGGCTCAAGGGTGGGATGGGTGTTGTCCGGGGACAGGAGCATAGTGCCCAGGGCATGAGGCTCAGGTTGGAGGCTGGTATGGGGGCTGTCAGATGGGTCATGTAAGCCTCAGGTTGGGGTGGCATGGGGTTCTCAGAACTTGGAGCCAGTGGGTACAGGGTGGGTGAAGGGCCAGCCTTGGACCCAGGATCAGGGTGGAAGTTGGGGTTGTGTCTCTGTTTCCATGTAAGTGAGAAGGTGTTGGTTACAGGGTCGAGTGTGGGGTGAGGACCAGGCCACTCTGGGGGTGGGTGTGGGCTGGGGGAGGTGGTGGTGGGTGCTGCATACCTTGGGGGCCCTGGGCTGGATGGAGGTGAGGCAGGCAGGGTCGACGAGGGGCTTAGGCCGTCAAGCCGACTCCTCCATCAGGCTCTGCCACTGGCGGGGCAGCCCGGTGAGCTTCTGCTCGTGCTGGTCGAAGCCCATGTGCATACGGTGCTCAAAGTTGGGTGGCGCAGAGATCTCCACCCACTTCTTCCTCTTCCCAGACATGGTACCAGGGTCTCAGTGCAGCCTGTGCGAGGGAATCATGGTGGCTGAGTGGCAGCAGCAAGCCTGCCCCGTCTTCTCCTCTGCCGCTAACCAGTCTCTTCCACCCTCATCTTCCACCGGGACCCACAGGAGGCTGCAGCCTCCTTCCGGTCTCCCTGCTCACCCCCTGCCCCATCCGCACGGCACACGCAGCCAGAGGGCACCTGTGAGCACCTGAGGACCACGTCCCTCTGCTCAGAGCCTTCCTGCCTGTCTCTTATGGGCCCACAAGACCCCGTCACCTCTCTGTTCTCATCCCCTGGAAACCTCAGGGCCTTTGCAGGGGCTGATCCCTCTGCCTGGAGCTCACTTCCCAGTGTCTGCACAGGGCTGCCCCTCCCCTCCTTCAGTTCTCAGAGCAGCAAGGACTCCTTTCCTGACCACCCCAAGTTCGACACCAGCCTGGCCAGCATGGTGAAACCCCATCTCTATTAAAAATATAAAAATTAGCGGGGCATGATGGCATGCACCTGTAATCCCATCTATTTGGGAGACTGGGGCAGGGGAATTGCTTGAACCCGGGAGGCGGAGGTTGCAGTGAGCCGAGATCGAGCCACTGCACTCCAGCCTGGGCGACAAAGCGAGACTCTGTCTCAAAACAAAACAAAACACCACAAAGGGGCCGAGGGGAGACATGCTGGTGGAGGTGTCCCACAGAGGGCCGGGAGAAAGACGGGAAGGGGAGCCAGGCGGCCAGAGTTCCATTCTCCACCACGTGCTGCCGTGACCGTGGGCAAGTGACCACCTCTCTGTGCTGTGGATGAACCCCCACAGGGCTGCTGTGAGGGGTAGTGGGTGGCTGGGAGCAGAGCTTGGGGCAAGGCTGGGCATATGCCAGGGGGCCTGTCTGTGGGGGCCACTGTGGTGGCTGGGGCAGTCCCCACATGCCTGTGGGAGGAGGGGCCCAGGTCCTGCTCTCCTGGAAGGCCCCATCCCAGCTGTTCCAGGCCTGGGCCCTGGAGCTGCACATACCTGGTCTGATGCTGGTGGGACAGAAGTGCCCTCAGGCAGGTGGCCTCTCCTCTGGGGGCGTTGGGTTACTCATCTGTAAAATGAGAAGAACGCATCGGTTCACTCATTTGTTCATTCATTCAGTAATCACTCAGCAATGGGCCTCCTCTGTGGCCACTGTAGTGACCCAGACAGCTTTTGACCTCATGGGAAGTTCACGTGGGGCACAGACCTGTCCCCATGCAGCAGCAGCCCAGAGTGGTCAGGGCTGAGTGGTGGGAGCACAGGACCCTGGAGGGATGTCAGGGTGGGCAGCAGGGAGGCTTCCTGGACGAGGGGAAGTGTGGAGACCAATGGATGAGGGGATACGCAGGTGGAGTTTCTGTCTTGTTCCCGGCTGGCTCCCCTGCACCTGGCATGGCGCCCAGCCCAGAGAGTCCTATGGCCTAGTGAGAGGATGGAGGACGCGCAGATGCACGTGGCCCCTCCACACCTGCTCCTTCTCCCAGCTCAGGCTGCTTTCCTGGGAGCAGCTGGGAAGGTGAGGCCCTGAGGTAGGCCCATCAATGGGAGCCAGCCAGGGGAACCAGTTTGGCAGTGGGAGCCCCATGGGAGGTGGCTGGGGACCCGGCAGACAACCTGTCTCAACTGGTCCCAAGAGGCCAGCCAGCGGGTGGTCAGAGCCAGGCCTGGCTAGGGCCCCTGCGGTTGGCCCAGTTTCCCTGCTTGCCCTGGGGCCTGGGATGGAGGGCAAGCAGTGGGGAGGGGCTCCTTCATCTCTGCCCAGACCTTTCTCTGAGCCCAATGCCAGTGCCCTGAGCAGTGCCCACCCCTCCCTCACAGCCTTCTAGCCCTGCCCATCCCCGGTGGCCCTAACCTATTCTCTCACAGTTTTCCAGGCCCAGCTCCTAGGGTCATCCACACACCCCGACCATCCCCAACTCCCCACTCTGCCTGTCACTCCAGATCTGCGTCCTATGTCCTGCAGCCTCTCTGTCCTCCCAGAGGTCCCTCCACCCTCTTTGGCCCCATGCCCTTCATCGTGAACTTGTGGCCCCCACCCATCCCGCTCCCTCCCCACTTTGGGGCACTAGGCAGTTCCCACAGCCACAGGAACAGGATCAGCCACGTGACCCTTCGATAAGCCCAGAGGGCGGAGAGTGGGGCAGATCCTGAGGTCCGGGATGCCTGGGACTGGCGGGAGCAGCCTGGAGTGTGGGCGGCCGACCCAGCTAGCAGCACAGGGGCTGGGGATGTCCTCTAAAGCCTGTGCTCCTGCCCTTCCACCCATAAACCCCCAAGGGAAGAGGGCAAGGGACACGCCTCCAGATGTTTGCCCGGGGCCACCCCTTCCCTTTGGGCACTGCACAGAGGGCAGGACAGAGGAACTGACCATGTTTATAATGACCAGGCAGGGGCCCCACCCCGGCCCCTCCTGGGCAGCTCCAAGTGCTGCTAGCTCCCCTAGCAGGCGCTCCCTTCCCACCGTATGCTCCTGACCTCATGGGGGCCCACAGAGGCAGTGCTGGGCCTGGGAGGAGGGAGAAGAGCTGAGCAGAAAGGCTGGGCCTGCCCAGGTGGCAGGGAGGGAAGGGTAGGGGCTGGGTTTCCAGGCCAGCTCCAAGCTTGGCAGTCAGGCTGCCGAGGGCTCCAAACCTCAGCAGGGCTCCTATGCCCTGCCCTGTGTGACCTCACTTTCTGTGTCTGAAATGCGGCTCTAAACCAATCCGGGACCTCAATGTGTGGCCCTGCGTGAGCAACTCAGCCACACTGTGCCTCAGTATCCTCCTCTGTTCAAAGATGGTGATGACAGTAGCTGCTTTCTGGCATTTTTTAAGGAATTAGGGAGAACACAGGGCATGGAAGGCCTGGGCCAGAGACTGCGGCTGGGATCGGAGCCAAGGCAAAGCACACACAGCAAGTGCTCAGTAAGTATGGTCACCATTACAATAGCAGCCAGCACTTACTGAGCACCTACTGTGTACCAGCCCTCTTCCGGGCACTTTACCCGGAGTCCCACATCTGACCCTGGAGGGAGGGGACATTATGAGCCCCGGATTACAGACATGGAAAACAAGGCACAGAGAGGGGCCTCATTAACCAAGGTGACCCAGCTAGAGTGACAGGGTGGACACCAGACTCCAGGCCTGTCTGCAGAGATGTGCGGGTCCCCACCCTGCTGTGCGTCTCATCCTGTTCCATCCTCACAAGCATCCTCATCCCAATTCACAAGTGGGGAAACTGAGGCCCAGAGAGGGGAAGGCCCTTGTCCAGGGCACCCAGACAGTGAGAAGCAGTGAGAATTTGAACCTGGATGGTTGTGTGTGGAAGGCACTGAAGGCTGAGCTCTTACCTGCCTGTCCTGCTGCCCTGGAGGGCCGGGGTGATGCGGTTGGCTTTGCCTATTACTATTTGTTATTATTAGCATCATCCTCCGAAGGCTGGTCCTGGCTCCCCTCTCCCTCAATCCCTCCTCATTCTTTCTGTCTACCCCCAGACCTTGCCTTTCCTCTTCTGGCCTAGTCTCTGCTGAGTGAGGGTCCCTCCCTCCTGTCTGACCTGTCCTGGACCCCACGGGTAATGGGAAGGAGCACCAAGTGGGCTCCCGGGCTCCCACCTCCGTCATGGCTGTTCACCACACTTTCCCACAGGCCTCTGCAGCAGGAAAGATGCTTAAAACCAATCCCTACCACCAAATGTGGCCTGAGGCTCAGCTTGGTGCCCCCACCACCATCGCTGCCACCACAAGGGACCATGGCCCACAGCAGACGCTGCCACTGAGCTCACCGGTGCCCTCAACCTCAGTGGAGTGGCCATTCTGAGCCCCATTTTGCAGACGTAGAAATGCAGGCCCACAGAGGTAAAATCTCTCACTAAGTTCACCAAGCAGAGTTGGGCCCGGAAGCCAGTCCTGCCCACTCTGGAGTCCACAGCCTGGAATCCTTTCCCAGCCCCCACGATGCCTCCTTGTGGCCTGAGAGTCCCTACAGGACACACCTATCACCAGGCTGCCCTCCTCTCCTCCTAGGTACCCCTGGGCTCTCTGTGCCCCAGCCACACGGGCCCCCCTGCTGTTCCTCAAATCCGAGACATGGTTCCACCTCAGGGCCTTTGCACGGGTGAGTGCCCCACCTGAGTTCTCCTCTCACTGGTCCCTAGGCAGCTCTCTCCTCCCTGACTCCCAGGCTCGCCTGTGCTCACAGGCTCTGCGCCTGTCCTGTCGCCCTCTCGCCTGTCTCTGCCTTATCTTCCCTCAGGGCTCTTACCATGTATATGAAGCGCGCGTGTGTGTGTGTGTGTGCGCGCGCGCGTGTGTGTGCGCGCGCGCATGCGCGCACGTTCACACGCACATAAAATTCTTTTTTTCTTTGAGACAGAGTTTCGCTCCTGTTGTTGAGTGTAATGGTGCGATCTCAGCTCACTGACGGGACGGCAGGTCTGTCTCCTTCACTGTACTATAATCTCCAAGGGTAGAGCTGGGCTGTGCTGGTTACCACCAGGACCAGCAATCAGAAAGAATGTTACAAGGCCTCGCCCAGCCTCCAACTTTCACCTCTGTCCTCCCTATGGAGAGGTTCCAGTCAGTACAGTTCTCCTTCCCAGCTGTCAGCCCCCGCACCTGCCCCCAAGGGCAGTTGGGGCAAAGCTGCAGTCACCGTCCCAGATGCCTGAGGGGGTAAAGGTGAAAGCCCTCCCAGCCTGCCTTCTCCTCTGAGCGTGGGGACTCGGTGGGGACAAGGTCCCAGCTAAGCCAGTTGTGTGAACCATCTCCCCATCTGTTTCCAAGCAGCCTGGTGGGTGGGTGGGTCCACAAACCTCCCATCTCATGGCCGAGGAAATCGTTTCAGCGAGGGCCACAAAGCTGTGAAAGCAGGACTTGGAAGGAAGGGAGGCCTGGAGCCTGCTGGGAGCACAGTGGTCCAGCCCTGGGGGCGCCACTTGGCAACCGCAGGGAAAGGGTTCCGGCTTTTCTACTGCTAGGCATGTGCCGGAGAGACTCTGGCCATGGTCTACAGGGACACATGTTCCAGAAGGCCTGTCACTGCAACATTACAGCCCCAACAGGAGACCACCTCAGTGGCCATCAACAGGTGAAGAGCCAATCCCCGTGTGACACCATCACAAAAAGAAATGGCAGCAGAAAAAAATGAATGGCCCTGCCCAGACCACCACACATCCCCATGGAGGGAGAGCCAGACTCCAAGGTTCAGCTCAAAGCCTGGTGCAGGGGTGTGCACCTGTAATCCCAGCTACCCACGAGGCTGAGGCGGGAGGACCTTGAGCCCAGGAGTTAGAGTTCAGTCTAGGCAACCCAGCAAGACCCCATCTCTAATATCCCTATAATATTGAGCATACAGAGCAAGTTGTAGAATGACATATTTATGGTGACACCATCTATCTGAACTGTGAAGCAACGATGGGCAGCCCCGCTGGCCGTTAACAACTGCCCAGACAGGGAGCTTCCAAAAGACTGAGGCCAGCCCCAGCCCAGACCAAGTAAGTTGGCAAGAAAATTTCCATGGTGGGCCTGGGCCAAAGCATCTTTTCAAAGCTCTCTGGGGGGTTCCACTGTGCAGCCAGGGGCAAGGGCTATTGTTGGTGAATACATTCAAAGGTAGTAAAAGCATGAAAGGCTGCAGAGGAATGGTGACTGCCAAACCCAGGACAGTGGCTGCCCCTGGAAGGGAGGGAGGAAAGGGTGTGAGGAGGAGACCCTTGGCCTCTCTCTAACTGTGTCACGGTGCGTTCTGTCCCAGGCCAGAGGCTGGCTGGATGCACGAGTGTTTCATTATACTGAAAGCCCTGCTTTTTCCCCTAGCCCAGCGTGTGTCGAAGAAATAAAAGTGGCAAATAAGAAATCATTTGTCCAAGGTTGGTAAGTGACAAGGGAGGGACCTGAATATGAGTCTCCAATGCCCAAACCCTATCCTTCCTTATCTGTGCCAAATGCCGAGATGCTGAGTGAGCTGGCACCACAAGGCTGGAAGTCTAGGCCAGCCTCAGAGGGCTGCCTGGCAGTGTGCCGGCTCCCCGACCCCAACAGAGCCAGGTGGGGATGGGGTGCGGCCAGAGAAAGCCAGGAGGCAGGAGGAGCGAGGGCCTCCACCGTCTCTCCCCAGGCAGCCAAGGGGCGGCAGCAGCAGCAAGACTAATGCTGACACAGCAACTACTGGATGCGGGGCCTTGGGCCACAGCTCTCTGCCCGGCATCCTCACAGCAATTCTATGAGGCAATGCTAACGCTATGCCCATTTTGCAGAAGAGGAAACAGAGGTCCTCCCGCACCCTGTGAGTGATGGAGCAGGGTATGTACCAGGTATTGTTGGCCCAGCACTGCTCTCCGAATCACACTCCATCACAGCCTCACGCAGCTCCACACACCGGTACTCCTCAGCCCTCTCCTGCTCCCACTGTCCCTCCCAGGCTGAGCCCCCTCAGGGTCTCACCCGGAACCTGCATAGGCTCCAGGCTCCATGTTGCCCTGGATCCCCAGCTCTGCACCGTCCACTCACTCCAGGGCCTCTGTACACTGCTCCTCTGCCTGGTGAGCCCATTCCCAGCCTCCTCCTCATCCTTCAGAGCCTTTCCAGGGGAAAGGGACTCGGGCTTCAGCCCAGGGTAGGGGCACACTCCCAGCTCCCTGAATATGCCCTCAAAAACCACATCACCATTTGCAGAGACGTAGCCTTGCGTTACTGGCTGAGGGGCTGGTTCCACTCTGCTCCCATCAGGGGACTGTGTGCCCGCTGAGGCTAGGGGCTCTGTGGGTCTCGTCCCCGGCCCCACTCCCAGCACCCGGCACAGTGCCCAACAGTCAACCCCCAGCAACTATCCTCTGCAGACCAGGCAGGGCTTCAGCAGGACCAGGACCGAGGCAAGAAACCCCATAGCGTAATTCCACCAGGCACCCTAATAAACAAGGTAAGGAGGGAGGGAAGGGCTGGGCAGATGAGAGAATGAGAGCCTGCAGCCAGTGCGAGCCAGGGTGGTCCCAGGCCAGCTGAGAGTGAGCGACCTGTCAGTGACAGAGGACGGGGTGGGGAAAGGATTCCCAGCAGAAGGAACAGGAAGGTCAAAGAACAGGTGGAAGGCACAGGCCCGGAGTTAGAGGACAGCAAATGGGCCAGGGAGAAACGGGCAGAGCCATAGAAGTGAGGACCACAGTGAGACCTTAGGGTTTTAAGAGCAGTGAACACCCAACTCTGCCCGGGGTACCACCCAGGGACACCCTCCCCAGTAAGAAACTCATCCGGCTCCCTTGCTTGGACTCCAGGCCACCCACAAACACCCCACTCCCATAGGCCCACAGGAATATTCCCTGCCAGATCACACCCTTCCAAGGAAACCAAGCAGACAATCCGATCCTGTCCAGGGAGTGGCCCAGCCCTGCCCAGGCCCCTGCTTCCAGGAAAGACCTAATGGCTGGCTGCGGACAAGGTGGCAACCAGGGGCAGGAGCCCTGGAATCACCCAGGCCCAGCTTCGATTCTCTCTCTGCCTTCGGCAGAAGCTTCTGAGCCTCACTTTTCCCACCTGTAAAGTAGGTTCATCCTGAGCACTCACTTCACAAGAGTGCAGCAGGGGTGAAATGAGCCCTGGCACACAGGGCCTGGAGCACAGTGTGAGCCCTCATTAAACATTAGCCGAACTTATGATGATTTCAGGGCTCTGGGCCAGAACTCCAGAGTTGGAATCCCAGCGCATAACTTATGCATCAGGTGACCTTGGGCAAATCACATGACCTCTTAATACCAGGTTAAGACCCTCTAAGACTAGTGAGGACTGAATAAGCCAATACAAGTAAAGCATTAAAAAGAGGGTGTAGCCCATAGTAAGTGCTTCATTAGTGTTTCCTATTATTATTTGCGGGAGGGTTCCCCGTTCTCCAGCCACCAGGAAGCATCTCTGACCACGCTGCTGGACTCCCCCCCCCGCCCCCGTCCCCTGCAATACGCCCCTCCTTGGGTTTTAGTTTCTGAGTCTGGGAAACACCTGCCCCGCTGTCAGATTCTGAACTTTGCACCTTCTAGGCATGCCCCAACTTTGATGCCCTAAAAGATGCCCCGGAACCTAAAACTCATTCATCTGCTCCGCGGGGGCAGCTTTAAACCTCCAACCTGGCGCCCCCGGAGCGGTGACCTCTGACCCTCGTAGGCGGAGCGTCCCCTCAAATTGGAAACTTTGGCCTTACCCAGATCCCCTGGAACGCGCACCCAATTCGAATTTCAGACTTTGCGCTCCCCTTCGCCACGCCCCCTTCCCTAGTTTGACCTCCGAGCTCCACTACCCCTCCCTCCAGTCAGCGTTAACCCCCGACCCCTCGGAAGCGACCCGTCCCTCCACCGGTGAACTTTGACCCCGGCGGCCCCGCCCCCTCCTCGCGGAAATGCCGTCCCGCCGCCAGCACCCGGCCCACTACCAGCCCCTGGCTGGACCCCTTATCCTACCGGCTCGGCGCCGCAGTCGCTCGCGGCCTAGATGCTCGGCCTGGAACTTCGCGCCCTCGCGCCTCCTTCAGCTCTCTCGCGCCTCCCTCCTTCAGCTCTCTCGCGCCTCCTTCAGCTCTCTCTCTCGCGCTGCGGCCATCGCGGTTACTGCTGCCGCCATGTTGAATCCCCAAGGACTATCCGGGGCTTCCCACTGCCCCCGCCGCCCACCAGTCCCCATAGCAACGATGCTGGCCGGCAGCGGGCAGGACCAGAGCGGGGGCGGAGCCGGGCTCCTCGCCAAGCCCGCTCCAGCCTCCGATTGGTGCAGAGCGTTCAATCGAAGACATTGGGGCAGAAAATGCCAAGCGCGGATCGGAAATTTTGGAAAAAGTGCGGGAAGGCTGGCTCCGGCCCCCTGAGGTCCTTAAAGGGGAGGTCCTTAAAGGGGAAATTAGTGTTGGCCGGGCGCGGTGGCTCACGCCTGTAATCCCAGCACTTTGGGATGCAGAGGCGGGTGGATCACGAGATCAAGAGATCGAGGCCATCCTGGTCAACATGTTGAAACCCCGTCTCTACTGAAAATACAAAAAATTAGCTGTAGTCCCAGCTACTCAGGAGGCTGGAGCAGGAGAATTGCTTGAACCTGGGAGGCGGAGGTTGCGGTGAGCCGAGATCGCGCCATTGCACTCCAGCCTGGGTAGCAAGAGCAAAATTCCATCTGAAAAAAAAAAAAAAAAA